AGACCCAGATGGGTAAGCATCATATTGTCTCCTTGCTGCAGGAACCTGAAAAACTAGGTAAAACTCAAAATATACAATAGATGACAGGAAAGGGAAAGGAACTACTCAAAGGAAGGAATGACTGGGATGAGGGAAAGAAGAAAAAAGAAAGAAGGAAGGCAAAATATAAAAATATATATAAATAGTGATAACTGTATTGCCCATGTATTGAAATGAAGTCAATGATTACAATTTTTTATGTTCTGATTGATTGTGCATGTTTGTGTGTGGTGGTCTGAGCAACTGATTTGAAGGTAACAATATGCAATGGAATTACAATGGTGAACTCCTACCATCTTGTCTAGTGAAACTCTGTATTATCTGTATTGTTTTATCAAAGAATTATTTTCTTATTCCCTATAATGCTTTGAGCAATCTTTCATTCTTACATCGGGTAATCTGAGCAATGTAGTTGAGGATAGGGATATGTAATGTAACAACCACTGTTGATTTGTATTATTTTGTCTTGAGACTCTGTATCACTTTGAATATTCTTGCTTTGATTTGTTTACATTTGTGACATGTTTGCTGCTACTGTTCTATTTCTTTCTTTCTTTATTTCTCATTTACTACTCTCTTTAAAATAAAAAAAACAATAATAATACAAAACTATATATTTCCTATGATTTTTAATTTCCTTTACACTTGAGTTAATTCATTTACTTTATGGTCCCTGATATATGTAGGTTTATTTCTAGCATTTTATTTATTGTTTGCATTTACCACGAGTTTTCTTTCTTTTTTGTTTCTCTCCGGCCCTAAAATATTATTTTGAATTTATTCAGTCAAGTTTTAAATTCATAGTCAGTCTTAGCATTTTAATGGAACACTTGAATCAGTAAAGTCTAGTGCAATAGGCCTACTATTCTTTTTCAGAACAATATATGGAAATTGGAAAAGTCTACCATGGTTCACACTTTATGTTCCACATTAACACTGTCTATAGTATAGCTCCACCTTATTTTCCACTGCCCCTCGATTGGACTTTTTCATTTTTTGTTTGTTTGTTCACTTAAACAGGGTTTTGTTATGTTGCCTTGGCTGGTCTTGAACTCCTGGATTGACCCTCCTGCCTCACAGACTATTGGTGAGACTACAGGTGAGACCATAGGTGTGCTACAGACTATAGATTGAGACTATAGGTGTGTTCTGCCCACTGTCATACCTAACTTTGTTCTCTATTTAAAGAATCAATTCTGGTAATCTACTCAGTAAGGATTCGTGAGTATTAAATCCTCTCTCTCAATTATCTGAAAACCTTTTAAAATTCTTTCTTAAGTAATAAACGTTGAAGTTTTTCATCCTATCCTCTATGTATCTTGACATCTTTTACATACTCATCCCCTTTATCTTTCTTCCCTGTGTTGTGGGAGGTTTCATGAAATAAATATTCCAGGTTACTAAATTTTCCTTTAGTCTTATCTATAGCTATTTTAAGATCTTATTTTAAGTCTTAAGTTTTAAATTTCAATAGTCATACTTAAATTTCTAGACCTTCTATTTGATTTTTTCCAAAGTTATCTGTTCTTTTACGATATTCTATCTTTTCATTAGGTTTGTATTCCTTTTAAAATACAGTACTTTTACTTACTATTATGTAGTTTGATTCAGCTTGCATAAGAGTTCACATTATTCAAACGCTAACTTATTATGCTGCCAACTGTCTCTCAGGGTGGACAGCTCTCTTGGGTGACCAGAACTGTGTACTGTGAGCTCATTTTCTGGAGTGGGCTCTTGTCATCATAGACCAATACGCTCAGGTAGCACGGAACAGTCTATGGAACAGTTTGTCCTTTGCTCTGCTAGTGCCGCAGAAGTTTTACCAATTATGTTAATTATGCATCTTTCATCTTTTGCTCTCTGTGCTACATCGTAAACTTCATACCACAGTGGGGTATAGCCTTGTGGTTTTACTATAGGTTTTATTTAAGTAAAAACTTCATTTTCTTTTTCCCTGCCATGGATACTCCCATAGCTCCCTAGAGCTCGTGGCGAAAATGTCCTGGCTGATTCTCTCAGTGGTACATCCCGTCATGAGTTACAACTTCATTCAGGGTTCTCGCTGCCTTGTCTCCGATGTGTTTCCCAAAACCAGGGCTCCAGCTTCTGTGCCCAAACAGAAAGTACAACTCCTCAGGTCTGGGTTCACATGTCTGGGCTCTGCTGGCAGCAACTGCACCTCCTGACACTTGCGGGTCTCCCCCCTACCCCCGCTCACTTCCGGCCGTGTGTGTGTGTGTGTGCACGTGCACTTGCATGTATGTTTTTAAAGTACTGAATTTTCCCCACATCCTCTGAATCAAAGGTTTCTGGATTAAGGTAAGTGGTTAAGGAAGGAATGTATCTGAATTTGGTTGTTGTTAACAAAACAATCAACATTAAGAATAATATTTTCTATGGACTTCATACTGTATTGCCCTTTAGTATCAATTTAGTTTTTTGAAAATGTACTACAAGAGCTAGGTGACTCTGAATCCTATTTACGTCCATTATGAACTTGAATTTCTCTTTCATAGCAGTATATATACACTGCTATCAAAATTATTTATATGTGAATTTGGCTGGATTCAGAGGTGATATTTCATATTTGGTTCAATGGTAATAGATAAGCTTTGAGATAACATTATAATATTACTGAAGAACTACTTATTAATACATTCAAGACACTTATTCTGCCAAAGTGAAGAAACATTAAATGATGCAAATTGCAACTTTTTTCTCATTCTGTGTTTTTTTCTCATTCTTTTTCTTAATTTAGACCTTGTCTTTCTTGTAAGCTTTTGTAGTTTCATCTTTAGAAAGCCTTTTATTTTCTAAAATAAGCACCAATGCAACATTATTTCTTTGTAAAACTCTGCCAGCAATACCCTGCCAGAAGCACCAACCTTGCTGGTAAACAGAAAGTATAGCTTTCACTATAAAATGCTATAATTACACAGCACAGCAATATCTCTGTGGTTTATATCACAGAGGAAATCAATAGGAGTATAGACTACAATCCTCTGTTGGGCTTGAGCAGATAGAAGAGGATAGATGAAACAGCTTACTGACTTAGTAGGTAGCAAATTAGAGCAGTAGAAATAACTAGCCCTTGAACAGAATATTTTTAATCCACACATCAAAATGTTTCAGTCTAATAAAATACTTAATAGATAATAAAACAGATGGACAGACAGACAGACAGAAATCTTCTCTCGTAGCCCCATTCTTCTTTCCTATTTGTACACACTTCCCAGGCTGCCCCTACCGGCAGATATCCACAAGGAAATATTGTACTATACTGATGCTGGGAGAAATTATCGGGACATCAAGGACTTCTATGTAATGCAAGTCTTAGTTTGAACAGTTCATGTTTGTATTTCACAAAAAGCCATAATGTAGAAAGTGTCATTATATACAACCAAGAAGAGATCCAGAGTTCCAACATGTGGCATTGTTTTCCTTATTAAATAGCTGGCTCTTAGAATTTTTTAATATGCACACTAGAAAGAATGCATATTAAATTATCCAAGGTTGAACTATTATACTGAGAGAGGAAGATGGCATAAAAGAGAGAGAAAATTCCAAACATTGCTACTTTTCAATCACATAAATCACTATGTTCTATAGAAAAGGAAAAATACTAAATGAGAAACTGTTGAGAAAAAATGACTTGTGCCTGTTATGCTGTTATTTTAATCTTCAATTCAAACTCCTGCCTAGGGAAACAATCCCTGTATCTCTGGATAAACGGTTAGCAAATAGCTGTATTCTTTTCATTCTTGCACTTCTGGTACCAACTTAGTATGACACACAGTAGCCGTCCCCAATCATAATCAGAAGCTGCATGCTGCTGTCAGCAGCATCCTGCTTTCAAAGAAAGCAGTGTGTGGGAAACATAAAAATAAGAGACCTATCAGATAGTTATTCTCTGTGAGCAACATCGTTATTTATTTGCATTTTAAGTAAGATTTTTTTTAAAGGTCCTTGTGTGTATAGGCTCTGGTAAACAGAATTTTGCATATGTAGTGACAACAAAATACTTTTTTCTTAAATATCAAATACTAAAACCCTATACAAACACATTTGGTGGCTGGTATTCTGCAGGCAATTTGTAACAGGTTATAAAAACTGCCAACATTTGGCCACTAGAAGGTCAGACCCAAATGTGATATGCTACTTGCTCCCTCGACCTGCACAGGTGTGATTTCAGAGCAGTTCTTATCATCTTAATTCGTGGTCATGAGAAGAGAGGATAAACTGTGAACATGTAAAGGATCCTCAAAAAAGGGGAAAAGTTTGCAATTATAAAAATCAAATAACTTTCTTATTAGGAAAATGGAATTTAACAAAGATACAAAAATCAGAGACAACTTAGTTTATAGCATCTATTGCATACCTGAGTTAATCTCTTGCACTTATTTTAAAACTTTAAGTAAGATTTGTGTAAGTTAACTAAATCATACCCACATTATAACTAGTAACAAAGACCCACCACTCTCAAGGGCTGTGAAGATGTGCTTACTAAATCATTAGTGTAAATTAGTAAGGTATAAACCTGCAGAAGCATGTGCCATCCTTGTATGTTTTACAACACGGCTTGGTGCCAGGAGTGAATTATGAAATAAGAGCTCACTTTTTGGAAGTCATATTTTGACCCCTTGAGGGGTTTAGGATGCCCTTTGCTACACACTAATAAAATCAAGTGGTAGTTCCGTGGTCTGGAGAGAATGACTAACTCACTGCTTACTCAGAGGAAAGCCATACTGCTTGTCATTTGTTAGCTGGACATAGTTATTATTCATTGTTTCCTGGAAGATTAGTTTTCTCCAGCTATGAGAGAAAGCTAGGACATTGCTACATTATCACAGTTTTACTATTGCTCAAATAGTCCTTAATTTCTAATACTTCCTTCCAAGACATCCGAATAGCTCACCCTCAGGCCCCTCCGTGTCATGTTTGCGGTTGCTCACAGGACTTACTCTGCATGCAGAGGCCATCGGTGCAGTTCTTGGATTGCAGGACCAGCCCTTCACAGTCCTTGCCACCATTTTTGGGGGCCGGCGCTGTGCACTCCCTCCGGCGCCAGTGGGTGCACTCTGTCCCACAGGTGGACCACTTGCTCCACGAGGTCCACCTGCCGTCCACTGCCATGAGAAAAGCCAGCGTCAGTCAGAGGGGAGGCAGCCACATGCAGGTGAAGGTTGCAGAACTTAAGTACAAGACAACAGTGCAAACCGTGGGAGAAGGCCCGGCCAGAAGCCTCTGTCACTTCCACCCCAGGACATGGGTCGCAGCTCCCTCACTGAGAAGCAAGACAGACCTCCGGGCCACGGGAACCAAAGTTGGTCCCAGGATCTGTGCACAACTAGGTCATGGCGGTGCCCCTTTTCCTTTCCAAGGAAACTTCTCCATTTTGTATTGAAAATGGGAAGGGTCTCTGTGGATCCAAGAGTCCTTCCCACTTAGTTTCTTGTGGACAGGGAAGTCAATTCATACAGGGGTTGGGAGAAAAGATTGGCACTGTGGGGCAGAAATCCACTCAGCTTCGTCTCCTCTCCCTGGCTCTCTGCTGAGCTCTCGTCTCCCATCCCTTCCACTTGTCTCAGGTCCTCTTTATAGTACAACATGTCTGCAGCACGTGATGCTACACTCATTTTAGGGTGTAGGTACACGGACTTATTTAATTTTCCTTTCCCTTCCCCTCCTTTCTTTTCTTCTCTCTCCATCTCTAGATCTCCTTCTCATCTGTAAAAAAATCTGTCTCTCTCCTGTCTCCCCTTCATTTTGTTTTGTAAATTAGTATTTACACTGAGTTTCTCATGTGAGAAGTTATGTGATATTTAAGCTTGTGTGCCTCATTTACATACCTTTCATTGTTAACATACAGATTGCTTGATTCTGCTGACACCTTCTGCCATATCTCCTCTGAACATGATCATATTACTTTCTATTTATTATTTTGTGACTCCATTCCATTATGTGATGATATATCCAAATATATTTCTAAAAATAGTATTTAGTCAAGTTCCTAATTTTTCCAGCCATTTATTTAGAATTGAGTTACTTTCTTCTTATTTCTGTGGCTGACTTGTGAGTACTTTCAATAATAATGAGATATCTATATTTCAAAAATACTAACTTAAATCCCAATTTGGAAAACAAATACAATAAATTTCACTGTCACATTTTGAGATACATTTTTTAAAGTTTTTCACAGAAACAGGATAGAAATGTTGACTAAGTTTAAAAAATATTTACTTCACTGAAACACATTATTATAATTAAATTCCATGTAAAATAATGCCAAATATAATTTATTAAGAATTTAAACCTCTAAAACATGCTTATTGATAAAAGTGACTAAATTGCAGTAGTTTATGTAACTGGGAAATCTACATGTTTTTATAGCCTAACTACTATGTGAATATATCATATATAATATGCATGAAAATATAAATGTGTATATGAAAAATGAAAGTATTCATATTTCCATCATGCAGAGCTTGCTGTACAAACAACTCCCAAGTATCTGGAGCAAAAATATTTGCTTTGAACTAGATTCTGAGCTAGTATCTTTGCTTTCACCCCCAGGATACTGAAATACTCAGGTGCGCGCATGTACACACACACACACACACACACACAAGCACATGCTTATATTTCAATTCAAATTAATCAATGCATTTTAATTGTGGAAGTGAGATTTAGATAAAATATAGGATAGTATAGGATAAAAATCTCAAATTCCAAGACCAAGTATCCAAATTTGTTCCATAAATAAAAGCTCTGAAAGAGTTCAGTGTGAGAGACTATTTTCATACTTGGATATCACACTTGGGAATGTAGCATGCAGATTATATTTTTCTATCTCGTTGATTTCTTCAATCTATTTCTGATAAAGATTTTATTAAAGGTCAAAGGGGACAAAATTTGGCAAAATAAGGAGAAGTAAAGAGTCTGTATATTTCAGCAACAAAACTGACAATATAATACCTACTCAGGGAGCACACTAAATTTGTAAGTTATTTCAAAATAAGTTTAACTTAACTTTGGGATATTTACATAACTACACATTTTAGTAGGTTTTGGCAAATATTAATTTCAGTTTACTTGGGAACGGGAGTGGGTAGCAATATGAAATAGTAGAGAAAGATGCCTAGGGGTATAGGAATGCAATCTCGCTACAGGTACTATGGCAAATAACTCACAAAATAGATGACCAACATGCACAGATAATAAAGAGCTGAATGCATTGTATTTTCAAAATCCATTATCCCATGTGTCACAATGCTTTGCCTTCCTTTTAATTCATTCCAAATGTTTTATTTGCCCTTGCCCAGAAACTAACGCTACATATCAAATATTTCAGTATAAAACATTTTCTAAATTTCATTTCCAGTTAATTCCCATGGTTTTCTGAAGACCACGTGTTACTGCTAAATGTATAGTTTTCTATGCTGTGCAAGTCCTTTGAATTATAGAATCTACAATCTTGGCTTAGCGGTTCCATTGAATAGGGCAGGGGGATTATGTTCATGAGTATTTAGCTATTGTTTTGCATTATTTTGCATGTTTGGGTACCACAGTCAAGTACTCTTTTGGAGAAATTGGTATTCCAGCAATGTAAACAATGAATGCAGAATGGGTCGAAATACTGTTTATCACACCTTTAAGTCAAGGGTCCGGCCTCTGATCCACTTCTGAAGCTATTCTAGAGTGGTGGGAAACATAGGGAGGAGAGGGCCTGGATTGCTTACCTGGGCACAGTGTGGTACAGACTATCTTCTGTACGCTTTGCCCTTCGCAGAAGGCACCACCATTGAGTGGGGCTGGGTTGGTGCAGGTCCTTGTGCGTTTCTGAAACCCTCGTCCGCAGCGGCTGTTGCACACGGACCACTCTGTCCAGGTGGACCAGCCACCATTGACTGAAACGAGGTGAGCCATACAGAGTGGATTAAACAATTTGCACACATACCCAGATATGCCAACTATACAACACATAAACGAAGGGTCATCTCACAGGCGAACACTGAAAAGCCTAAAATGTCAAAGCTAGAACAGATCATGGGCATCGTTTTCAAGTTTTGTTATATAGCTGAAGAATATGAACACAGAAATAAATAAAATTGTTGACTAAGATTTACTCACTCAGAACAGTAAATAAGGCTGCATTTCTTTTGTTGGCTAATATTGTTTAAAAATATATAGCCCTTTACCTAGTCAAGCTCTAAAAATTACTTTGACAGCTTACTCAAATAGTGAATGTTTACATCCTTAAGCCAAAGCTAAAAGTGGACCTGTAGCTTGGGACAAAAAATCTCTTAGCCTTCTTAAAAATGATGCTTGATTATTTTCTGTAACACATACGAACTTTATAAACTTTTAAGGACTCTTTGTTTCAAAAACGAATGCGTGAACCCAGTTAAAAAACAAAGTCTGAGAAGCCACTTTGAAGATATCAATATGTAATACAACCACCATTGTTAATTCCCTACCACTTTGTTTGTAAATCTGTATTGTCTGTATTGTGCTTGTGATATGTTGTAAAATGTTGTATGTCTGTTAATGTTTCCCTCCTTTTATCTTTAAAATAAAAAAAAAAAACAAAGTCTCATAGTGTTGAAGCTGTAAACAAATTGACTAGTAATTTGATTGACTTGGCAATTAGTTGAGGTCACTGAAATGGACACCTACTTTGTGTGCAAAGTCTAATTATGATGTTTGATGGAGCTGTCAGTGTACATGTGATTAAAAACCTATACCCTAACACTACTGGTGGTTTCATCTCCAGGGAGCTCCCTCTACAAAATGCTCTGATTTTTTTTTAAAGTAATTCAGTAGTGTGAGTCTATGCAGTTACTGCAACGAAATAATTTCCTTTTTTTTTTTTTTTTTGCAATGAAGTAATTTCTAACAAAAGTTATTTGCTAGTAGTTAAAAGATGATACAATTAGTAGAAGCATTTACCTCCCAATAGTAAACAGTGTCAGCCCCTGAAGTAGCACAAACCTCATATGTGCATACAATTTACCCAACATCATTCTTTCCAGAAACCCACCCAGTAGGGAATATATTCATATAGACAAAGACATTTTCCACATCAGTTTTTTTTAACATAAAGATAAGTAGTTAGAACATCTGTAATGTTCAAAAATAGGAAACCATGTAAGTTTACATGATGGACTTCTTTAAAGCAGCCACTGAAATTGATACTACAGAATGCTATTTAATAACACATAAATATTTCCATGTTATATTTTAAGTAAAAATATATAATTTTTTCAAATCCTGTCTATTCATAGAAAATATCTGTTATAATTTTAAAATATTATCTTTAGATAGGATTATACTTGCAGATGTTTTCTTAAGTTTTTTCTATACTTACAAATTTTCTCTAGTAGATGCACATTTGTAGGCTAAAATGATATTAACAAAGAATATATATAAAACAGACTCAAAATAAGACATGCTGGCTGGATGTATGGTTTTGTACGGTATTCAGGTAAGGCCAACCTAGGAGCTGCAGACAACTTATTTTATAAAACCACAAAAAGCACAAGCAGATGGCTGATACGGATGGTTTCAGTTAGTGTTCTATAAAGCAACTTAACCTGTCTAACTGCATAGGATTTAAAATGTCATGGGACTGTCAGTATGAACTTCCTGCTAGCATAGTGTCAAGTTGATATTTTGGGGTTATAGTGATATGGGAAAGGGAACTGAGTGTACTCCATTTTGTACTCTAGTGCCATTTTAAAGCCTAAATTTCTGTTTCCTCAAGTTTGTTTCTTATAAATGTTGTTATAGTTACTCAACCCAATACTACCCCATTCTTTGTCATAAGACCACCTGTTCCCTAAGGTAAAATGTCAAACACCTTTGTTCTTCTGTCACAAGCTAAGCCCATGCTTTGTAGAAGTATTTCTGTAGCTGCACTAAATCATAACAGAAAAAAACCTAATCACCCCTCTAGACCTGGAACTAGAAGTATATAACTATTCTCCCCTCCTGCCCTTTGTGGTCTATGCTTGGTCATGTACTGGGCCCCAGTGCCGGCTGATAAACTTGTCTCTGCATCCGGCCTCTGGGGGAGACTCAATTAGACAAGCATGTTTACCACAATAGGATCAACATACTGCTCTGCTAAACTTGAATGAAAAGTAAGTAACCAGAAACTTTTAGAGACAGAAACATCTCTGCAGAACCCAAGCGTATCCCTTTGTTTCCAGAAAAGATGACAAGTGCTCAGAGAACCTTGGCTTTGTAAGGTCAGATTGGGGAACACCTAGTCCGAGAGCCCTTAGCTCTGAGGGCTTCAGTTCCTTGTGTTTGCTCTTTCCTAAAGACAATGCACTCTCTCCACTTGTGGATATTGAAAGCATGCTATACTTAGAAAGAGATTTGCATGTATATTAAATATCTATATAACACATCTATATATAGTCTGTCCTCATTAGTTATTTATGATTGGGACACACAGTGATGGGGACCCATTTCTACTTTGCATTTCAAATACCATTAATCAAGTCTTTCAGGGAGTTTAGACAAAGATAAAAAGTAGGAAACATTTTATTGTGATTGAAGATGCACAACTGCTTACAATTCAACATAGCCATTATCTGGGCTAGGAAATTAAATATCACAGTAATCATGGGATTAGAAAGAATGTATGCATCTGGCCTGTAATTAAAACGGCAGTTTTAAAACACCACTATATTCAGCTTCAGAACATCATACTGGTTTCTGTCCTCACAACTCCTTACATCATAAGCACACATTCACTGGGGTGTTACTGCAGGAAAGACAAGATTTTAGTTTGTACATTCCCAGAGTTTTATCAGCTTGACCTGAAAATTAAACTAGCATAAAAGAGATGTACAGGAAAAAAGCATTCATCTTTATTTAATACAAGTTTTACATGGCTTGGGGATCTTCATAAAGAAACAGTGATCTAAAGATGGCATTTGGACTTAACACTTTCATGCTGAATTGGACCCGAAGTGTACATTTTGAGAATGTAACTATATTATGTGATGAGACTGAAAGATAAATTTTAATAAGATCTATACAGGATCCTATTGGCCTCAGCTTCCCTTCTTTGATGATAAGAATACTATTTTCCTTCTAGCATATGGGAGGCATCTTTCACATGAGGATCTTAGTGTTTTGCTTTTAAGAAAAAGAAAAAAGTTCAGAGTGATCTTGTATATGCTGCTTTTCAAGTGATGTAAATAAAAAAATAGGTCAATAAGCCAGAGCAGCATATTTTGGGGTGCCGTTATTCTTAACTCTTTCCATCTGACCCACAATAAGAAACTAGAACCAGACAGTCAACAGTGGCCGTCCCTCCTTCTCAGCCCACCAGACCTCAAGACCTGTGGGCTCTGCTTCCCAACAAGCAGGGCTGTAAGGGACCACTGTATCCTTCGCGACAGTGAGGCCTGGACCTGTTGTTCTAGAGGGGGCACACACCTCGTAGCCCTTCTAGGGTCATACACTTTTCTCTGTGACTATTAGTCATCAATAATGTAAAGACCTGTAGTATTGCATTCATCTAACATTGTGATAAATATATAAGTACACAGCCCTGTGTCTCCATCTAAAAAGGAGCGTAAAGTTAGGCAAGGAGAAAAACCATCTTTAAATGATGAGAACACTGCATGTTAACCTGCACAGGGAGATAAAAGCATTCAGGTCCCTCAACAGGAAATTCGTTGGCATTTGAGCAGAAACGACAGCTTTGGAGATGAGACAGAGGAGAAAGGACAGTGGGAAGAACCCTCCTGGGAATGCCCTTAGACACAAAAACTCTGCTATGCAGTGAAGACAGGAGTCACATGACAGCAGACACCCTTCCAGCAGCTCTGAACACCTCCAATGGAGGGTGCGCAGCACATTCTATGAGGCCAAGTCGCTCCAGTGTGTGGGGAACAGGCAGCTCCAGATCTCCAGAGGTCATACCACCACTGGACTGAAGCTCCGTCTAAAGAAGCATCGGCAGGCTGCTTGGAGCATGTGTGTCTCTGGAGCCCTCACCTTGGGCCTTGGAGATGCAGAGCAGAGGTGAGGGCTTCGGGGAGCAGCAAGCCCTCAGGAGGCCACCTCTGCTTTCCTGTCCTGAGGGACAGAGGGCTAGCAATTTCTAAGCCGGGTCTTTCTTAGGTGGAGCAGGGATGCAGCTACACCAGCAATGCCCAGTGTTCCACTTATGGAATGCCACAAACCATGGAACGTTAAAAATTTTTTTTTCTCTTCAAATTCCTATTCCATGAATTTTTCTAGGTAATGTATATGAATTTCATGCAAAAAATTGCAACCTTTGTCATAAGTGTTCTCACTGACTCCAGGGAACACTGGAAGCAGCAGTAACACGCTTTGCAAAGGGGCCTGTAACATGAAATTCTAAAATTAACTCGACACCGAAGCTTAAACCAAGAGGACACGAAGTGTGATGAGAGCCAAACCGAGACCCCAAGCGCACTCACCATAGACGATGACAGTGGCCGTTGTGCTTCTCCTCTTGGCAACGATGTTTTTGGCGACACAGGTGTAATTTGCCGTATCAGAGAGACGGGCTTGCTTTATGATGAGGTTGTGGTCGATAGTGATATAAAAATTCCGATCTTCAACAGGATCAATTATGTCTTCATTTTTCAGCCATTCTACCTAAAAATGCCCAAGAAACATAGGTAAGTTCCCAGTATGTGTCCCTCGATGGCTACTTGTCTAACTTGTGATGTGGAATCCATACAACATTATCCACGCTAGGAACTTCTGCAAAGCGGGGAAGTAACTTTCTGAGGTCATGCGAAGTATCACTCACCTGCCAAGCATGCTGACTCTGTCTGCACTGCATTATTCTCAAATGTCAATGAACCAATTGGGAAATACAGTGTTGAAATTGTTTTCACTTTGCCCTCCAGGCAGGAACAGGGAATATGCACTTCCAAGTTCAGAACCCAATCAAAAATAATGGGCTAAGCATTTCAAACCGAACTCAAATCTTCTGCTATTTGATTTGTTTACTCTTGGCAACTTACCTGCTGCTTTTCAGAAAAGGATATAAGGCCTATTAAAAAAGCTCTAAAGGCATTTTAGACATCATGTAGCTCTAATAAAATAACATTTGGATGATTATGATTTACATGTCACCTCCCTGCAACATATGGATTAAATTTTCTTGAAAATGCACAGGCTTTAAAATGAAGCAAACCGCATATCTGGAGATGCATCTTAGCCAAAATATTTGGGGAAAAAAAGGTTTTCTACCAAGCCTCAATATAATCTAAACAGTATGTAAATCATACTCAAATCTCCTTCACTCTCCCTCAACGTACAGTCAGCCCCCATCTCTAACTTCAAAACTTTGCCTCCTGGTTTGCTTTGGGGAACATGACCTAGGACACAACTGTTCAAAACTATCGAACTATTGGTTTTTTATGCAAATGATATCAATTTAGCAACAATGGTATTATCTTTGCTAAGTAAAAGGAGGGAAATATATCTGTACAAGCTGTCCTTCTGGAAGGTAAGCTACATTTTTTTATACAAAGTTTTTCTTTCTTTCTTCCCAAGCACAGATTTTTTTCCCCATAAAGCAAAACAACATTGATATTTACCACACTTAAACTTTCCTTTTGCATTAGAGTGGCTATGGATACAAGTAACCTTTAGTGGTAGGGAGTCAATATTGTTGCCATTTTCAAAATCTTAAAGAGCTTCTCCAGCACTGCAAGAGGTCTAGAAATTAATCTCTAAATCTGTCAGTGGGCTTGACACAGTACGGTTCTAAATTTTGTCTAATGCAGAGATTCTCAAATAATGCTCCTCTAATCCTTTGAAGAGAAGCCAATGTTTAAAGGGGAAAAAAAACCCAACTACAATCCTAAAATACAGAAAGGGATTGGGAGATAGATTAAAGCCACTGTTTGTAATGATGTTAACTTAAAAATAAACATTCTTGATATTTGTGCTCACGGCACTGAGAAAGAGAATGGATTTTTAAAAGATGCACTTTATTTTCAAATATCAACTATACATTCCCTTGACCTGGATTCTCTCCAAGTTTGGCCCTGAGGGTGATAATATGACCTTGCTAAAAGTGCACAGCGGAAGGAAGCAAGAGGCACACCACCAGAAACCTTGACAATAACTGAAACTTGACATTTGTATTCCTCTAATTGAATCTTTACCTAGGTTATGTATGATGCCATCCTAAAGACAGCTTTCCACATATAGAAGGCAACACTGAGCTCCTGTCAGTTGGGGTTAGATCCCTTCTATTTTGGGGATGCTCAGCATGCTTGTCTGTCAAATATTGATACCTGCTATTCTTCTTTAGAGCCAACATTCAGATTCCTGGGTTCTCTCATCCTGGAAATACCAAGCAGTTCACCATGCCCCCTGTAACTCCTCTATTAAGCCACTGACCAAAATGGATGCACAAATATACTTGTGTCCACTTGGGTCAGAACCTGGGTTGTAACTCTTTAGAGCTCCCTGGGGGGCCAGGCTGAGGCTATGTCCTTGAAGCTTTGCCTGAATTTACACTATGACTGCTACTCTGGAAACACTTCCTTAAAAGACTATTGCATTCAAAGCTCAGCTCATGATTGGCTTCTAGAAAATCTTACTTAAATCATGGCTGCTCAAAATGTTTTCTCTGTAACTGATATTAGTTTAACAACTCTGATGTAATCCTCATCACAATTGACATAAAGAGATCTTGAGGGACATTACCAAGCACTTGTTTATTTGAAGAGTTTATTACATGGGAGAAAGAGTTCAATGTGCATGTTGGACAAAATCTGACTGCTGCACATAGGATCCTTACATTTTTGTACGCAATGGTGCACTTTACTGAGATGACTCTCACTAGCATTGGGGCAGCACTGTGGCCTGGGCCTCCAGAACCCTGGGCAGTCACCGTAGTACCATAGGGGACATTGCCCTGGTCCCCTAATGGCTGCTTTAACCACAACTCTGTTTTGTCTGTTTTCCACTTTTGGTTGGCCTGTGTGCCTCTGGCGGGAGACAGAAAGGATTCTAACATGAGAAAATGGTTAAAAGGGAAGAGGGGAGACCCCCAGCTTCTGCCAAGATCTCCCGTTTCCTTGTTCTTGTACCCCACACTGGCCCCTGGCTGGAGCCCTCGGCCCTGACCCCTGCCCTCTGGGGAGCCTAAGTCAGGACTGCAGGCTGCCCCTAGCTGCCATGCTTGAGCTCTGGCTGAGCTGCCCAACTCACTGCTGCGTCTGGCTGGGAATCCAGTAGAGTCCTCTGGATTTGAACCTCTTTTTAGACTTTTTACTGCACCTCTTCCCTATGTAAACCCAGCTCTCTTTAATGCCAGAATGTTTTCTGGAGTGCCCCTCAAGTGGTAGATGATTCGTTTACCTGGCCTGGGGCTCAGGGTTGAGTGTTTTTGGTTCTTCCTTTTTAATTTGTACTTTTTTTTTTTTTTTTTTTTTTT